ACATACAATATACTGTAATATGTTCTAATGAAACCATACACATTTATCTGTACATAGAGAAAAAAAGAAAACATCTTTCTCTCTCTCTAGTATATATATATATCTTGAACAAAGGGAATTAATATGATCAGAAAATACATACCTTGTCTAATGGAAGAGAGTTAGCAGAAAAACAAAGAAGTTTCTTTAAAAAATACAGACAGACTACAAGTTTCATTTGATGTTTTAAAGATAAATATTAAAATAAGCTTTCAACTCGCATACACCCATCACACTGAAATTCTGGATGCCCACAAAGATAAAACAAGATATCAGCAGAGTTACTTGGGAAGAAATATTTTAGACTTGTTAATAAACTTTAACAAAAAAGCATTGTCACTAGATTAAATGTCAAAATAAGCAAAAACTTCACCTCCATATTTAAAACACAGCAAACAAAAACTTTCACCCTTGAAGTTGTGGTCATGAAATGAATCTTAACTAATAATGTTCTCTATGGCACCTTTGCCGATACTTAACGTTCAGTTTTACAGAGTTCTTCCAATGGCATTACCATGCAAGTAGCTGTTTGTAGATATTTATAAATATACATATAACTAGATAAGAGCATACACGTACATCAGATGGACTGGTCGTTACAACCCCTTACTGTAATATTTCACTATAACTCCATCACAAACTCTGCACTGGGCACATGCCATTCCACCCTAAGTCATTATCAGTGGAGGGCTGGTGATGTGTCTTCACAGCAAACATTACCACTAATCAGTTTGTGTAACTATAAAGATGTAGGACAGCAAGTTGTGCCACTAGGTTCTACTAGTTGTTCAAGTCTGATTGTTGGCTTCACTGGTTCCCGTTACATGCGATATCGTTGGGCAGAACGTAAGTAGAAATGCAAGCAACACAGCAAAAAGAACAGAACACAGGGCTACCTAAGAAAAAAAAAACTTAAAATTACAAAGAAAACATAAAGTAACAAAACTACATCAAATATAAACTAGACATTGTATCTATTATACAACTATTAAAAATTATGCCACAAATTGTTTACTTGTGTTTGAGAGACGTAATTTCGAGGCATACTGTACATGTATCATAATTTATGTGAAAAGCATATTTTACCAGTACAAAAACATTACACACACTCAATTTTTTTGCGGAGTGCTGAACACTTTAAAACAGTTTATAGCACTCAACAATACTATTGTTATGCTGAGCAGTGTTCACTTTGAATCAGTTTATTGTACTGAACAATAGTATTGTTATGCTGAGTGGTGTTCACTTTGATCAGTTTACGGTACTGAATAATAGTATTGTTATGCTGAGTGGTGTTCACTTTGAATCAGTTTACTGTACTGAACAATAGTATTGTTATGCAGAGTGGTGTTCACTTTGATCAGTTTACGGTATTGAATAATAGTATTGTTATGCAGAGTGGTGTTCACTTTGATCAGTTTACGGTATTGAATAATAGTATTGTTATGCTGAGTGGTGTTCACCTTGCATCAGTTTATTGTACTGAACAATAGTATTGTTATGCTGAGTGGTGTTCACTTTGATCAGTTTACAGTATTGAATAACAGTATTGTTATGGTGACTGGTGTTCACTTTGAATCAGTTTACTGTACTGGACAATAGTATTGTTATGCTGAGTGGTGCTTACCTTGCATCAGTTTATTGTACTGAACAATAGTATTGCTATGTTAAGTGGTGTTCACTTTGTTACAAATGCCACCTTTTTTTTTTTATAGTTCCCTGCCCTCACTCACTTCAATGAAAACAATTATAACATTTCTAAAAAGAGATCCATGAAGTTGATTGTTGTCTACCAACTTACTGTTCTTGAGTGGCTGGACATACACTGAAAATCTTCTTTTGCAGCTTTTAACTCTCTTTGTAAATGTGACTTTTCTTTGTTACAATCAGCATAACACTCATTCAGTAAAAATATCTCTTCCTGGGCCTTGATCAGCTGTAACAAATAATCCATTCAAGAGGGAATCATAACTAGTACCCAAATCTATATAATGTTTTACAAAAATCACATTTTTTTTTTGTTATGGAATCAAGGAATGTGTTAACTAGAAGAGTTGGTTTTCTGTGGATTATGTGGCTGGTTAAACCACTAAATAATTATGTATGAGCTAGTTCTGCCTCATGATTCATTTGGAAAATATTTACTTCTGACAAAAGTGCATGTAATAAGAAATTCTTCTGGGCTTCAGTATACAAACATTAGTCATAAAGTTTACCATCCAAAAATAACTCATGCTCTTTATCCAGAATCTGAGCAGTTTTAAATGTTTATTTGTGAGTAGTTTGAAGCCTAGAGTTAATGATACTTCTCTGCCAGGAAGTCTGTATGATTACTATAAACATCTGAAATATTTTTTTTTTTTACATATATTTTATACTAACACAATTAAAACAACTGTGAATAATGGTTAATTTTGTCACAAGACCTTGTAAATGTTAACATTTGACAAAATGGTGAAAGAAAATAAAATAAAAATCAAGAGTAAAAAAAATTTGTTACATAAAAATCAATGAACTGGATTATGAATTTTTAAATTAAGTATTTAGGTCATAATAAAGATACATCCAATGTTTTTAACTGTACAGAATGACTAGATTGTACCTGGTTTCAATTTATGAAAATTATTTCATTAAATAAATAGATATTGATAAAATCAAAGTTTATAAAATGTCTTACTGAGGAGAAAATGTGTTCAAAATATTTAGGTAGGACATAGTGTAAATAACAAATACATCAACATTATGTTGCTGGCACTCTACCACCAGAGTTAGCATACTGATGTTATGTTAAAAAAACAAACACAAGGCTCAAAACCTGAGATAATTTTATCAGCAGAGTATTAATATAAAAATAATGGATTGGGTAACAACACAATATTAACAAGGTTTTAAAAAGATAGTGTAAAAACCAACTAAAGTTGTCATTTACATGTTAATGTTATAAATGGTTGTATCTTTGACATTCACTGAAAGCTTCAGATTGAACATTAATAGAACAATGTCAGTGTAAATTCGATGACGAGGAACCCACTTTGAGACTAATAATGGCTGGAGACGGCTTAAATGGGTCATGTTAAACTTATATTAAAGTTTTTCTTCATTACCCATTTAAGCCGTCTCCAGCCATTATTAATGTCAGTGTAAACAATGGATTTATATTCATAAGAACAACTTGTAAACGTGTGTCTCACATGCAAACAAGATGCATCTAAACAACACAGATCTTCAGATATACACCATAAGTAGGCTGTTTCACTTTAGTACAATTGTAAACATACACCTCTATATGTAAACAATATGCATCTAAACAACACAGATCTTCAGATATACACCATAAGTAGGCTGTTTCACTTTAGTACAATTGTAAACATACACCTCTACATGTAAACAATATGCATCTAAACAACACAGATCTTCAGATATACACCATAAGTAGGCTGTTTCATTTCAGTACTATTGTAAATGTACATCCCTACATGTAAACAATATGCATCTAAACAACACAGATCTTCAGATATACACCATAAGTAGGCTGTTTCACTTCAGTACAAATAAAGGACCAGTGTGAATATTTAAACATGTGAAACAGAGATGCATGTAGAAATTAAGAGGAGGGAGGGGGCAATTCTAAAGTAGCACAGTTTCTATAATTGTAGTGTAAACTATCTTATTTCAGTTTGAATTTTAGTAGATGGGATTTTTTATTTTTTTATATTTTTTTTTATCTACTTCACAATCAAAACGAACCTGTCAAACAAAGTTTCACATTTTATGAGAATACATTTGTACAAATACCAAATCAAAATTCTCATAATAGAAAGAATAATATCCAAGATATTTTTCCTTAAATAAAAAACTTCATTCACGATATTTGGAAAACACACAAAAATATCAGATAAATTATTAAAAAAATTCTGAAGTTTTTCCCACCTTGATTGAAAGACCGTGTAACAAACATTTAGCTGTTGATTGTAAAGATTAACAAACAGGCAATACTAGATCATGGGTAAGGGCAAACACTTTATTCTTAAACTCAAAAAGTCTTCTTATTGGTGCTTCCTTTGGTTTGTTTGTTCATTTTGGAGTAAAGCCACATTTGGCTGTATCCACCATGGGAAATTGAACCCTGGATTTTTTAGCATTGTGAGTCTGTATCTTTAGGATGATAAAGTTCTAAGAAAACTATTCAAATGATCAAGAGAAATAACACAGACACCATTAAACTGGTTATTGCTGTAGGTAAAGTGAAGAATAAACAAAAAAGCTCTTAAAGCTACCTTTTCCTGAACACCTTCAAATCTACTTTTCATGTTTTCTAATTCTTCCTTCCAGTAGTTATTCCCTTTGTTTTCAAGAGCAATTTTTAAAGTTTCTAACTCATCATATGAATCCTGAAGCTTCTTGTAGTCAGATGACAACTTTACCTTATCGTTTCTGTATCTAAAAACATAGCATACAAAGATGTTATGCATCTGAATTACAAGACAGTATACACCATTTGTTCAACTACCAAACAAAATCTAAGTCCAATATTTTCTCTAGAGGAAAAAACACAGACTCAACTTGACAGTGTCTCTGTTGGTTACCCTCTTTGCCTATTGCTGTTTGACAAAAATAACTTTAAACTGATATACATATATATAGAAGGATATTCAGATAATGCAATATAAATACTAATGCATTAGTGATAAGTGCTTTTAAAAACAAGTTTTCATAGAAAAGAAAGAACACAGTTGCAAATTTTTTCTGTTTTAGTGAAAGATAATAATCAAAACTATACATGTACTTTATTTTTCCAATTAAATATCTATTTCCACTGGATAAATGTATTGACAAACAAACTTTCATTGGTAAGTAATTTCAAAACATGTCTTCCATTGGATTATAATTAAAACATTAACCTTTAAATAACAATTACTTTCATGGATAACTTCTGTGATACACATTTTAGTTGAAATTAGAATTTTTATGTTTAAATATCCTGCATAATATTAAGTACAAAGAACTAAAAGTTTCCATAAAAAATACTAATTTTTCACTTTCCCTTCCTTTTAATGAAATAAATTCCACAAAAATATATAATATATTGGATAGAAAACACACAATATTCTTATCAGAAATAAATCATACTTCTTAATTTCTGCTTCTAAGGACTGAAGCCTAGCCCTTAAGCTGGCACACTCCTCTCTGACAGCACTGTACTCTGCAGTATTTTTGTTATCTTCCACTGTAGACTTCTCTACATTTGCTTTATTTCTCAGTTCCTCTGAAAGACTCTTGACTTTTTCTGTATGAATGAAATGAAGAAGGACATTTCTAAATTTTATACTGTACAGGGTTAAAAACAAACTCATTAATGCTAAGGATATTTATTTGCAGTTTTGTTTTAAATGACTAACAATATGTGATGAGTTTTCTAAACAGGAATGTTAAGCTTATTATACAACCACATGTGGGCAATCATACATATGCACACTGATCATATGTATGTAATTATTGATAGTTTATGTCTGCAGGTGTAAAAACAGCTGTCACTAATTATGGTTCTGATTTTTCATGCCAAGTTCCACAAGCACTACCTGCACACAGCCACCAATGATTTTGAACTTGTACACTAAGGGGAAGATGGCTAGTCAACATAACCGACCATCAAATCTCGAACTACTCTTGCCTGACCAAACAGTGCTAATTGTGGCAAACGTTTTTGTGACATGAGACACAAAACATGAAACCTCAAGTTCAGAGTCCAAGCACAATAATCCCTAATCTCTGCCCCATCTCACTAGCTGGGATTTAACTTTTGGGTACGTGAGAAATACCAATGAGGTAATATTTTTTAGTTTTAACATGCATATGTACAATGATTGGTTCGGAGCTGAAACAAAAAAGTTTAATAATACATTTCAGGGTTCATAACACTTGAGGAATTGTTAATTTAACATGAATCCAGCAAAGTAGCCCACATACAGAATTATATTATTCATGATCTACTCTGATGTCAACTATACTAAACTTTCAAAGGTTGGTAAATTAATACCAATATTTGATAAATAAATGTGTGTTAAACTTACTTTTCAGATGTTCTGCTTCATTCTGACTTTGTTTGGCATTCTGTTGTACCTCCTGGAGTTGTTCTATAATATGGAAAATATGTGATATAAACATTTTGTATGTTTTTCATGTAAGGCAGGTACAGGCAGTGTATTCAGCATATGATCCGAGTTCTCTGTTGATTTCTCCTGCCTTTTTTCTTGATTCTAAAATGACACTTTGAACTTCATGCTCAAACCTGATAAACAATATAGTATTAGGCCTGAAACATTGTTTCAGAATCAAAGAAAAGGTAAAACAACTCTACAGAACACCCAGTCCACAATTGTATAATGTTAACAAAACTTTAGTCTACAGAACACCCAGTCCACAATTATATTATGTTAACAAAACTTTAGTCTACAGAACACCCAGTCCACAATTATATTATGTTAACAAAACTTTAGTCTACAGAACACCCAGTCCACAATTATATTATGTTAACAAAACTTTAGTCTAAAGAACACCCAGTCCACAATTATATTATGCTAACAAAACTTTAGTCTACAGAACACCCAGTCCACAATTATATTAACAAAACTTTAGATCTTGTGATAAAATTTACAACCTCATGATAATAATACAAACATAGAGATGTTATCCCCATGACATTCTAGGACATGAGTGGCTTATACAAACTCACATGTGGATAAATATTAGAAATATAGCAGGGATATAAAACTAAGAATAACTTAAAATCAGAATTTACTTGGTTTAATCTTTGACCTCAGTTTATGTACGAGAAAGTTCTCTTTTATATGGAGGTTCTGTTGAGGTTTTTACAGATGGTGAAAGTGTCATTCACATACTTATGGTTGTATAGTGGTTTATAAGTCTGTGGACATTCTTCCAACCACTGCTTTTCATGATAAAAACAGAAAAAAACTGACCAAAAAGGGAGCCAATCTACAGCACATAGCCACTCCACCAATTTGACCATAGAGATTACCATCAAGTATAAATGTGATTCCTTAATTGCAAAATTCATAAATTTCAAAAATACAGATTTAAAAATGCTTAAATCAGAGTTCTTATTAAAAAATCTTAACTTTATAGTTTCTTCTAAAGTTATATTTGTATACGAAGACCTAACTTCAAAGCTAGTGAAATAGACATTGCCATAAAACTTAAATTTTGTAATTCATCAGAAAATTCAAAATTGTTATTCAAAGTATAATCATTAGCAGAAAAAGTCTTTGGGAAAGCAACTTAAAAACCAGCCAGTGTATGATTATATGTTCCAATATTTGAAACTACCAATTGTAACATACATTCTTCTTTATGGATTTTAGGAAGACCATAAACAAAATTCCTGGATGACTACTTGATGGTCTAATTTTTAAATAGCTTTTCATTTAAAATATTATTCTTCTTTGTTTCAATAAGCATTTATATAACTTAGTAGGATCATGATGCAACATTGTGAATTTTGTTGAATCATTTAAAACGTCTTCAGCCTTTCTTAAATATTCCCTTTTATCCAGAATTACTAAACTATTTTCTCTATCAAACTTAGAAATTATAATATTATCATTTTTAGTAAAATTTTTTAAAACTGTTAATTCTTCTATGCTTAAATTTAATATTTTGTAATCAGAATTATAATTATTAAAAGATGTTAGATTTATACTACTAACTTGAGTTTTAATATTACTAAAACACTCACCAGATTTAGACTAACATGACAATGATTGCAAAAACACTCGAATTGTACAAAATAATATTCAAACTTCAACTTTCTGGAATATTAAATTTTAAGCCATTGGATAAAACTTTTGTTTTCACTATGACTTAGAACATACTTTGAATAATTAAAAATTACTTTTTCTGGTTGTTCTGTAAATATATTTTGACCTTGTTGTAATTTTCAATTGGTTAACTTAACTGTATTTCTGATATTATATAACAATTTTATTATTTTGTTCTTCAATGAAGTTTTTAAAATGTAAGAAGTTGAAAGTATTTACTTGAATTTTTACAAAGTAAAAGCTTCAGTTGGTAAAGTGTGATAGATGCCAGGTGAGTGTTTTATTTATAAACTCTGGGTTAAAGTGTACTTATAGGGAGGCTAGTAGCCAGGATGTACAATTTATTTGTGGGGTGTGCAGGTTAGAGGAGAAGTTGGACAGTATTTTGGGTAGAGTTGCAGAGATGGAAATTAAAAAATTTAAATTGCTTGAAAAGGTGGCGAGGCTTAATGAAGAACTTAAACTTCTACATGTAAAAGGTACATTTGGCAAACAGGATTTCAAGGGAGCTAACAAAGGAAATAGGACTAAATGCTTGGAAAATAATGCATTTAGGGGCAAGGATGGGCTTGGGTTTAGGTTAAGCAACCAGTTCCAAACACTTGCTAGTGATGAGGAGGAGCAGGTAAGGGAAACAGATGGGATCACAAGGGATGATAGTGTAAAGGATAGGGAAGTTATAGTTGTAGGTGACTATAATTAGGCATGTAGATAGAGTTGTATGTGGAGTAAGTAGGAGCAAAAGAATACGCTTATCCTATCCAGGAGCATCGGTACAGGATATAACTGATAAAACCAGAGAGATAGTTAAGGGTGCTAGTAGCAATGCTGTTTTTGCAGTACATGTTGGGCTAATGATGCAAGGAAAGATGGATCTGAAAACCTTATAGATAAGTATAAAACACTGATAAAAGCATTAAAGGAAAGGGGTCATAGCTTGATTTTGTCAGGGATATTGACGACAATAAATTGTGGAGATGAGATGCTGAGAAGGCCACTAGGATTGAATGCCAGGTTTAGATCAATATGTAGGGATGAGATACTAAGTAGGCCACTAGGATTAAATGCCAGGTTTAGATCAATATGTAGGGATGAGATACTAAGTAGGCCACTAGGATTAAATGCCAGGTTTAGATCAATATGTAGGGATGAGATACTAAGTAGGTCACTAGGATTAAATGCCAGGCTTAGATCAATATGTAGGGATGAGCAAATAGGCTGGTTGGATTTGTGAGGTAATTTTAATGGGAAAGTTAATCTTTTTGGAATGGACGGTTTACACTTAAACAAGGTAGGGGATAGCATGTTAGCAAGGGTTATTAACTCAGCTGTAGTGGTAGATTTAAACTAGGGCTAGACAGAGGTGAGGGCTATGATACAAGTAAAATAGGAAATATAATTGATAGAAAAACATGCACAACTGGCATAAAACAAGAATATGTTTCAATTAATTGTTACTATCATAATGCTAGGAGTATTAGAAATAAAATTGATGAGTTTATGGAGTTGTGGAAACTGAGGATTTTGATATTATGGGTATCATTGAGACTTGGTTGGATTTGAACAATTTTGATGAGAGAAATGTTTTTGAAGAACCAGGCTACAGATTATTTACTAGAGATAGAGTATTGAAAAGGGGGAGGAATAGCTTTATATGTGAGGAGTGAATTACATCCTGTTGAGTTAGAGCATATTAAAGAAAATAGCACATAGGTTGAGTCAGTTTGGGTTAGTGTTAGTGGATATAAAGGGAAAAGTCTTGTAACTGGGACTTGTTATAGAACACCAGGTTAGAATGTGGAAGTTAATAGGACACTGTATATTGAGATCAGAATGGTAGCTGAAAAAGATGTTACTATGGGAGATTTTAATTTCAGGGGTATTGATTGGGAAAATTTCGAGTCTGACATTGAAGGGGATAGGTTTTTGGAAATTGTTCAGGATACTTTTATACACAAACTGGTGATGGAACCTACAAGAGAGGAAGCTATATATTAGATTTAATATTAGCATCCAATGTGAATATGATAGAGTTGAGGATGGTGAACATTTAAGTACAAGCAACCATTGCATTATTAGGTGTTGGATTTTACTACATGTAGAATTGAAGAAAAATACTACCCTGATTCCAAATTTCATGAAAGCTAATTTTGATGAAATGAGACATGATCTGGCTTCTGTAGATTGCACTAGAGTTGGAAGGGGATCTTGAACAGATGTGGGAAGCATTTAGGGAAAAATTAATATACATAGAGAACATACATATTCTTTACAAAAAAAAAGGGCAACAGAGCAGAACGAGCCAGTATGGTTTAGTAAAGGTTTAAGATATCATATTTGGGATTAACATAATAAATTCCAGAAATTTAAATTTCCTGGAAATAATAATGAGTTGGAGGACAATAGGAAATCAAGAGAGCTGGATAAAAAGGAAGTTAAAAGGGCAAAAACTGTATATTAAAGAGTGTTGGACAAGAGAGTTAAATCAAACAATAAGGAATTCTTTTGGTATATGATGGGTAAGCAAAATGTTAGGATGGGGATTGGGCCTCTTAAAAATGATAGTGGGGAGCTGATCTCGGAAGATTATGAGATGGTAAACTTATTAAATTATATGTTTTTACAGAGGAAGATACAAAGTATTACGCTTAAACCAGAGCACTTAATGTATGGGAAAAATATTGATATAAAAAATATCCTTTTAAGTTCTGAAATTGTAAGAGAAAAGTAGGAAAACCTAAAAATTGATAAATCCCCTGGACCAGACAACTTTTATCCAAGAGTTTTAAAGGAACTTAAAGATTGTATTTGTGAACCTCCAGCTAGTATTTTTTATAGGTCATTGAATAGTGGAAGAGTATTAGAAGATTGAAAGTTGGCCAATGTTAGTCCAATATTTAAAGGAGATGATAAACATTGTCCAGGCAATTATAGGCCAGTTAGTTTTACATCAATGGTTGGAAAGGTTTTGGAGAGTGTGATTAAACATACACTGCAGAATCACTTAGAGCAGTTTGATATAGTGTCAAAGAGCCAACATGGTTTCACTAAGGGGAAAGTCTTGTTTAACAAATCTTCTGACATTCTTTGAGGATGTTACTGCAAGAGTTGATCAAGGACATACTGTGGATTTGGTTTACCTTGATTTTCAGAAAGCATTTGATAATTGTCTTGCAAAAGACTTGTTACAAAAATTAAATATGTGGGTGTGGGAGAAATGTTATTAAATTGGATAGAAAACTTGCTGGAGAGTGGAAAGCAGAGAGCAGTAATAAATGGAGTTATATCTGACTGGATCACAGTTACAAATGATGTGCCTCAGGGCTCTGTGCTGTGTCCTCTGCTGTTTGTGATTTACATTAATGATGTTGACTCTGGAATGACTAACAAAATTTTGAAGTTAGCAGATGACATTAAGATTTTTGGGGTGGCTAACTGTATCAAGGATGCTGCAGACTTACAGGGAGATTTAGATCATTTGATGCATTGGGCCAATGCGTGGCAGATGATGTTTAACTATCCAAAATGTAAGGTGATGCATGTAGATTTTCACAATTCAAATTATTGTTACAATTTAGATTGGAATACACTAAATACTGTGGATGAAGAAAAAAGATCTTGGTGTTGTGATAGAAAAAAAATCACTTAAGTCATATAAATAGTGTATTGTAGCTAACAATAGGGCTAATAGGATTTTGGGTAGCATCTATAGAAATATTGAATACAAGACAAGGAATATTATTGTTTCACTGTATAGATTACTTGTAAGGCATCATTTTGTGTACTGTGTACAGATTTGGGCTCCCTTCCTCAAGAAGGGCCCTGAATTGTTGGAGAAGGTTCAGAGAAGAGCCACTAGGATGATATTTGGGATGGTGGGATTGTCCTATGAGAAGAGATTAAAATTTCTAAACTTGTTTTCGCTTGAGAGGAGAAGGGTCAGAGGGGATTTGATTGAGGCATTTAAGATTAATAAGGGTACTGGATAATATAAATCCATCAAATTTTTTTGTATTTAGTGATGAAAACAATAGGAAAGTGGGTCATAAATTCAAATTTTGGCAGCGTAGGAGTTGTCTGCAGTTTAGACAGTATTACTTTTTAAACAGGGTGGTTGACTTTTGGAATGAGCTTCCTTCAAGGGTGGTGGAGGCAGAAAATTTAACTGAGTTCAAGAAAAGATTGGATGAATACATGAGTAGTAAGGGTGGTTATAGTTGGGGGCTGGAAGGGACATCCTTGATGGGCTAATAAGTTCCTTTTTGTACCTTTAAAATTTTATGAAATGACTGTCATACTAAAGATTCAAATTAAAGATTCTTTTATCAAATTCTATATTTTAATGATTCTTTTTGATCCTTATGAAATTGTCTAGAGTAAGGAAGTTGAGATACTGAAACCTAAAAATTAACAAAATGAGATATCTTTAACTGCTTACATACATTCTAGTAAATTATATGGAATATATTTCCAGAATATTTCAGCATTTATAAACTGAATTAGAACAGGTTTACTGTATCGTGTTTTAATAATATAAACAATAGATTATTTTTAGACTTAAGATTTTCCGGGTGTTTCATATGTTGACAAGTTTTATTTGCATATATGGCAAGTTTAAATATTTCTACTTACCAAATAAAAATGATAAGTGAGGATAGACGGGCAATAATTGGAATTATGATCAACAGTTTGGATGTTTTTTTACTACTTTATCCCAAAGAAAATTTTAAATAAAATATGCATTAAAACAAAATTCCAAACCTTTCATTGTAGCTTTAATTTATAGGTTACTTGAGAGGGAAGTCAGACACAATTTTTAAACCTTCATGATGTCATTTTCCTTTGTGAACAGGAAATACTGGTTGGAAAGGTTTAAATATGCAGTGCTGTACTATATTAGTAGATTTAGAAGATTATAGAAGATCAAGAGAGTTGGTCAAACAGGAAATTAGGACATCAAAAAGGATGTATGAGAAAAGATTGGCTTAAAGTGTAAAACTTAACAGTAAGGATTTCTTTAAATACATTAAGGGTAAACAAAATGTTAGGATGGGAGTAGGATCCTTGAGGACTGATAAAGGAAGGCTCGTATCTGATGATTATGAGTTGGCTGGGTTATTCAATTTTGCTTTTTTCTTCGGTTTTTACTAACGCAAATTTAAACAGTGTTCCCCATCTCGAACAGTTCACAGATGGAAACAAGATCAAACTATATGACTCCATTAATTCTAAGCTGGTTAAGAAAAAACTGGGAAGTTTAAAAAACAATAAGGCTCTTGGGCCAAATAATATTTCCCCAAGGGTTTTGAAGGAGGTTAAAGATTCGATATGTGAGCCACTTACTACTATTTTTTGTCCGTTCTTGAAAAGCAGACAGGTATCAGAGGATTGGAAGTTAGCTAATGTCACTCCTCTTTTCAAGAGAGGTGATAAAAATTGTCCCAGTAATTATACACACATTAGTCTTACATCAATTGTGGGAAAAGGTTTGGAAAGTCTGTTAAAAGATGTTTTGCAAAGTCATTTAACAAAGTTTAGAATTTTATTGGACAGTCAATATGGTTTTACTAAGGGAAAATCTTGGCTTACAAATTTTTTAATATTATTTGAAAATGTTACTGCTTATGTAGATGAGGGTAAGGGTGTAGATTTGGTGTATCTGGATTTTCAGAGAGCATTTGACAAGGTGCCACATAAAAGGCTTGTAAAAAATTATCTCTATAGGTGTGGGGGATAAGTTAGCAAACTGGATAGAAAAGTGGCTGGATGGAACAAAGCACAGGGTTGTTACAAATGGAGTTCAGTCAAACTGGATTAAAGTCACAAGCAGGGTATCTCAGGGCTTAGTCTTAGGATCTTTGCTCTTTTTGATTTACATCAATGACATAGATGAAGGAATAGTCAATAAATTATTTTAAATTTGCAGATGATATTAAGGTATTGGGTGTTGCTAGCTGTGAAGAGGATGCTGCTGATTTACAAAAGAAGTAAGATCATTTAGTGAGTTGGGCAAATGGGTTTTAATTGTAATAAATGCAAGAAAAGTGGGTTATCATAATTTGAATTATATGTATAATTTGAATGGGAATAACCTTAACAGTGTCATGAAAGAAAGGGATCTTGGTGTTATAGTTGATCAGTCTCCAAGCAGTGTGCTGTTGCTAGTGGTTAGGCAAACAAGATTTTAGGTTGTATCTACAAAATTATTGAATACAAGTCTAAAGAGTTTATAATTTCATTGTGAAGGTCACTGGTTTGGCCACGTGTGGAATATTGTGTTCAGTCTTCTTTATCTTAGGAAAGACATTGAATTGTTGGAAAGGGTTACTAGAATGGTGCCTTGGATGGAGGGGTTGTCATACGATGACAGGCTGAAATCTCTCAAATTGTTTTCTCTTGAAAAATAGAAAAGTTAGGGGGAATCTGATTGAAGTGTTTATGATCGTAAAGGGAATTGATAATGTTGATGCATCATCTTTTTTCATATTTAACACTGAGAATAGTAGAACTAGGGGTTGCTTTCAGATGTTGTAGAGGCAGTAAATTTAAGAGAGTTTAAGAAAAAGCTTGATAAGTATATGAATGATAAGGACTGGCTTTAAGACTTTTTTTCAATTATTTTATTTTAGAGGATGGAACAGCCGAGATAGACCAACAGGTACCACGTTGTCCCAAAACATTGTTATATGTTATGTCTAGGTAGTTCCTTATGTAAATTATTCTTCAGTAATTAACAACAATTATCTGCTAGCCTTCATGATAAACATTTTGCTATTAATACTAAAATAAATTCAATATTTGGCAGTCAGATGGTATATGGGAATTATGTTTTTTGAACAGTTATAGCATTTTATTTTGATATTTCTATGTGAAATTGATATCTTAGTTTAAAATAATGAGTCACAAGAATTATGAAACAAAGTTTATAAATATTTACTGGTTAACAAGTTTTTCAAAATCTTTATTAATTTCTGTTCTGATGATACATGTACTGTAAGATTTAATGGCACAGCCATATCATCTACTTTGCTTTTTGTTTGTTCTTCATCTCTTAGAAAAGTATACATATTTTACCTTTGGTCATCAAAACAGATAAGAAGATTCATTCTAAACAAACAGAAATAGTTTCATCCATTCTAGTGTAAGAAACTTATAAAAAAATTCAGTTTTGTTCAGTGGTAAAGATAATTTGGACACCAAGTGGAAAATAACAATTTTTAAACGATATTTTTCCAGCAACATAAAATTTAAAACTCTTATTTATTATTTTCTTTTTACGAGCAGAAATTCAATTATTTAGTAAGATCAAGTCATTCTTCACCATAATAATATATTCTTTCTTGATATGCCATACAGTCAAACAGATAAATGAACAGAAATTCTTACTTTTCGTTTGTTCTATAGCAGCAGTTAGTTTCTGTTGAACTTTTTTCTCTTCTTCCAGGAGGACTAAAAAATAAAACAACAGAAAGACAGAGATAAGGTTTAAAATACTTCTTAATCTTTTCATCTAGATTTATTTATAATACTTTGTATTTGCTCTTGGATTTACTTCTGTTAAACTTATCTTTCATATCCCGGTTGTTTGATAACAAAACTATTGTTAGTCTGTTCAAACATTTTTATACACATACATATCCTCTAATCCTTTCCAGTCTAGTGCTTTATTGAGCACAAAACAACAAGTAGTTTTCATCAACTGATTTCTTTCTCTCCAAGTCATCCACAAAATATCACAAAAATGTATAATTTAAAATTTTATTTTGATATAATTTTTTTATTATAATTTATTTTGGATAAATTAATAAAAAAATCCAAACTGCTATCACTAATTTAGATTTTTTTTCTCTCCCCATTAAAACTTTTTTAAGGTGAAGAATTATTTACAATTTCTACTTGCATATAGAAAACTAGTCAATGTAGTTACAAAGCCACAAAACTGTATTTTTTTTTGTAAATGTTTTGTGCTTATTTCTAGCTCTCATTGTTTAAAACTGAAAAAAAATTTGAAATTTTCTTTTATAAAAAATTATAAAATTCCACTCATTCATAGTCAGGAATTGAAATGTTACATTCCTGAATTTCTGAGGGATTTAACTTTGCTTGAGGAATTTCATCTTTTTAGTTGGCTTTCCCAATCGGGAATGCACGGTCCATTCATATTCCTATAGTTATGACCAATGAAAGTGGACATATTACATGGATTAAATAAAAAAACAGTTCATAAAGAAATGTGATCTTCCCGACAGCTTTCCCTCAAGTGAATGTAATTTTATTTTATTATTTCTATCCCTGGTAATTTCAAAAGTTTTAAAGCGAAAAAACCAAACAAAAAAACCTAAAACCCGATTTTCTTTTTCTGGCAATCTATTTGCTTCATCCCCCCCTATATGGAATGTAATTTTTAGCTTATGGTTAGAACATCAGATACTGTACTTAGTCACATGCTCAACTGATCTATTTGTAATTGGGTTTCCCTCAGCTGACATTCTAGAGGTTACAATTCAATCTCCTTGGTTTTCCTGGTCAGTCTTTCTTTATGAAAATGCCCTGTGTCCAAACTGGAAAGAATTTAGTTACCTACTCCTTGAGCCATTGAATATCACATACAAAATGTTAAATAATCTGTAGTGGCATAAAAATTTTCTTAAGTTACTAAAATCTTACTCTTTAAGCTGCTGACTTCCTCCTGTTTTCTTCTTGAAACTTGTTCCAACTCTGAAACTTTTTCTCTGATGGCAGTGACTTGTTGTTTTGCATCTTGCAGAGATTCTCCTGTTTTTGTCAATTCCGCTTAAGAGGTGAAAATATAGAAATAATTAGTTTGTTCAATGTTGAATTTCACACAAAGCTACCTGCACTAGCCACCCAAAAATTGGAAGGCTCAAGTTAGAGTATAAAAGTTTATGGTGAAGATAGTTATTTATATTCTGCATTAGCTATGTTAATTATGTAATATATACTGAGTCAATGACCACACCATGGAAAACAAGGGACTCAACACAGATTTGTAGTGTTGAATAAATGATAACTTTCAAAGGTGGAATACTTAGGTTTGTGTTAGATTATGCAAGATATTTATATCACAAACTGACATTTTTAATATCTGTACCTACTTTATACAAAATTTCAACACTTCTAGCACCTCTTAGCTACTTATACTGCAAATGGGATTCCTAATATCCTTAATTTTCCAAGGTTGATTCAGAGATTTCTAATATCACCTGAAGGATTTAATGCTTCTTTAGCATAATTACCCTGGCTGATGACATATTCACTCTGTATTAAATATATAAGGTCACCTCTAACTTACTCCTATATAAATAAACTTCTCAAGTTTCTTGCTACTATACAATTCCCCTTTTTAAAATTTTATTGAAAATAAGTTCACATCCTCTTGCTATTAAAAAAAACTCCTATATTTGTAATTATATTGAAAATAATCTCCTCAATTCCCCTTGCTACCACACAATTCTCCTGTTCATAATTATATTAAAAATAAGCTCCTCATGTCCCCTTGCCATTAGAGAACTCTCCTATGTTCATAATTATATTAAAAATAAGCTCCTCATGTCCCCTTGCCATTAGAGAACTCTCCTATGTTCATAATTATATTAAAAATAAGCTCCTCATGTCCCCTTGCCATTAGAGAACTCTCCTATGTTCATAAATCTCTTGAAAATAAGCTTCTCATGTCCCCTTGCCATTAGAGAACTCTCCTATATTTATAATTCTATTAAAAATAAGCTTCAAAGGAGGCCAGGCAAGGATGGTTGCCCCGTGCTGGCTCTCGACGTTCCTGTTAAGATGATAGCCCTTGTCAAAGATCTCAAGAATTCCATGGATGGTATAATAAATAACTTTAACCAATAAATTGATAGTTGAACAAACAGAAAGCATACAAACATGTAATAAATATCAAACTAATATAAAATGTTAAAGTTTGACTGGAGTAAATAAACAGAAACTTAGGAGTCAGCATAAAACAATTAAAAAAATTCGAAAATATTACAGTCCACACATTTTTTAAAGTTTTAGCATGCTGAAATACCATTTATACAAAGTATTTGAGTGGAAAAAACCATTAAATACATTTGAAATTACAATTATTAAATTTTAAAGTTGATTTCAAGTACACTCAGTGATCCAGCAGAACCTATAGAATTCACTACGTCAATTCGACCTAAAAATTGACCACAAATTGATTTTTAGAGTTTTCATACTATAACTTCTGATATGTTTTGTGTATCTTCACAAAATGTCTTAACTAGTCAGTAAGAATTAAGAGTTATTTGTAGAAAAATATCAAAACGTTTAATGAAGCAGTTTCGCTAAAAGTTCTTCTTGAGTATATAGAGTTAAAGTGTTGATTACCCCAAGTAGAAAGTGATCTTCACGTTAAGATTAAAAATACTTTTCTTCATCTAAAAATTCCCAAATTTCATTTGCATAATCTCTAAAACCTCAAATGTTTGTTTTCAGTAAAAACTTTATATTTTATCTACCCTAACTCTATCCAAGGTTGGTCAATTTGACTGAACACATTACCACCAACAAAAACATCAAAATAAATCTAAGTTATCCTTTTTTCTTTCTAGAATGATTTTAAATCACAATATAAAAACTACGTTTGTTTCTCCTAAATAGCTTTAAAATTGTAACAGTATACATCTGTTTATACGTAAATTTTATTGTTTTATTGCTCTTTGAACCAAGTCTAACTAATATTCTCGCCACGCAAGTTGTAAATCACTTGGCAAACATGTAGCTCATGTTACCCTATCAAATTACATAATGCACAGACTATTCGTGAGTTACTCACGAACATACCTTGTGAAAATGTTTTATTATTATTACCCTTTATCTTATCTGAGCTAAAAAGAAGTTAATTTTTACATTTTAGTTACTTTTATAATAATAAATAAAGAATACACATGAAAAACAAGACATATAGTAGTTATCTGTGTCTTTTTTCTTTTTTTTGCTGTTGAATGTTGATGAAACTTAACCATACTTTTTAATACTAATGGCACTGCAAAACTAAATAATTTTTTATTTAATTAAATAATGCACCAAAGAACACAGAATAATAACAGACAAAAAGCAGACAATGTCCTATAATTATAAACATTTTTCTGTCATTAAAAATGTATCTAAGCTCATCGATGCATTTCCCGTGGGAATAAAGTTTGAACTGGAAGCAAAATAGATAATTCTCTGTACAGTAAACAATGTAATATAATATGTCACTTGATAAGTTAAAACTCTAGCTTTCTGTTGGTTATAAATAGTATAGTATTAAACATCAAAGATGTAATTTCTGAAAGAGACAATGTGAAACGTGGGCATGGAAATAGGGGTCTGAATTTCTAGTTTATGGCTCTGTAATAAATTAAGATTGAAGGATATTAAAATTATGCTTTCCCAGAGCGATGAAAACTTTAAAATTTATAGTTTTTAAATTTAGTATTTCTCGGATGGGTGATAAATGAATTAGAGAAGAGGAGATACCTAGAAAGGAAATATCACAATTTTCGTACTTGGAGAAAATAAGGATTTTTTTTCATATTGCCTTATAAAATTAAGAACTTAAACTTGTATAATATTAAAACTTGGATTATTAGCTATAATTTTTATGCCAAGTTTGTTCTTATACCAAGATAAGAAAGTAGTTTAATTATATTTTGAATGTAACTCATTAAAACCTAATGCTTGCGCACAAAAGGATGCCCATAACAACAACGCAAGGTATTCCACACATACACACATTTGAGTGTTGTAAATATAACACTTGATTGATGTCCCCATCCCTCCCTTAAAGCAAATCTTTACACAGCTTATATCCATGACTCACCTTACTTTTATACTTGTTTCTATTTCAGGTTACATAGCAGTTAAGACATTTAATACTGTCTAGTTCCATTTATTATGGAGTTGAGAAACATAAATTAGTAAGGTATTCCGTTATCCTTTAATAACCCTAACTTATAAGTTTTGTATACTAATCATCTTTAATACATTACAGGTGAGAAACTTTCTGTCTACTTACTCTGAAGATGTAACACCTCGTTACCTCTGTCTTTAGCCTCTTGCTGAGCCTTTTCCATCAGTTTGTGAAGGTCAGACAATTCTGGTTGTGTTTGGTCTGAAGAGTTTGATTTATATCCAAGCTCTTCTATATGATAAAATGAGGAATACATCCAATAAAACCAGTTACAATGTCATATCTCACTGTTACATCTGAATGTGGGTTTTATCATTACATCTTAAGACAGTAATTTATTAACCGACTGTACCACAAATGACCTACTTGCCAGTCTCTCCCATGATACCAAAGACAATGTTACATCTGAATGTGGGTTTTATCATTACATCTTGAGACAGTAATTTATTAACCGATTGTATCACAAATGATCTACTTGCCTGTCTCTCCCATGATACCAAAGCCTTTCAGGATTGGCATTTTACTTTTAGTTTGATAGTTATTGTTTATAAATAGATTTTCAAGAAAACAGATACCAAAAATTACATAAATAGTAAAAGATGAAATTATACTTAAGAATACTTTTTGCATATTTTAGTATATATATAACATTTTTTTTAAAGCAAATGGTTTACACTGTCCTTACCTGAAAATGTATTACTGATAGATACTCATCTCCGCACACAGAATAGCTTGATGCCTCACGAATTTGCCCGTGAGGCTTCCATGTCACTAGCATTGAGCTAACTCCCACCTAAAAATCACATGTTTAATGTGAGCTGTATTAATGCAACATGACATCATCATGCAACGACAGTCCTCCACCTATAGGAGGATGACATAACCTCCTTACACAGTAACCCCCTTTAATCACTTGTGCTTGAAATAACTTTGTTCTCAGAAGAGACAAGAAGAAACTGCACCAGAAGTGGGAAGGATGGATGGGAAGGTATGTAAAGGTGAATATCTATTGGAAATTCATTTTCAGGTAAGGAAAAATGAACTTCTGAGACAATACCTCACCCTGCATACAGAATAGCTAAAATTCAACATTGAAATGGTAGAGGGGCCAACGCAAACCTCAAACCTAAATGAGCTCTCTTCAAAAATGCCAAAAGGAAAAGCCCGTGGAGTGTGACACCTGATGGCAAGGGCTCCATAGGGCACACCCCTGGGAGGCTGCATCTTATCTCAACCAGGGTATACTCTTTGATCCAAAAGAAAATAGAGAGAAAGGTAAGATAGCCCAAAGTGATAGCATTTGATGATGACCCATCAAACACATGCACACAAGTGGTCGGTGAGCCAAGAAGTGAAGTGTGGTTAAGGCGCAAAATTACCGTACCGACTCAACAGGAGAGACTCTCATTGCAGGTGAGGGTACATTATCTATTTGAGGGGTGATCCACACAACACAGACAGTGTCACCACCACTGTACTTTCCAACTGATGCTGTGCATAAATTACCCATTTTTTCTTTCTAAAATGACTTTCAACTGCAAAATGAAACATTTGTTTATCCTAAATAACTTTAAACTTGTAACAGTATGAATCTATATGTACTTAAATGTTATTGTTTTATTGCCCTTTTAATAGTGTCTAACTAATATTCATGCCATATAAGTTTTAAATCACATGGCAAACACACAGCTCGCATTATGGTATGAAATTACATAATGCACAGACTACTCGTGAGCATACCTCCTGAAGATTTTATTATCCTTATTCTACCTAAACTAACACAAAAAAGTTTCTCATTTTTACATTCTAGTTACTTTTATAATAATAAATAATGAACACACATGAAAACAAGAGATAAAGTACTTACCTGGGTCTTCTTTTTTTTGTTGTTGTTGACTGTTGATGACACTTAACCTTACTTCTTTATATTAATGGTAGTACTAAACTAAATAATTTTTTATTTAATTAAATAATGCACCAAAGAACACAGAATAATAACATGCAAAAAGCAAACAACGTCCTAAAGCTAGCACAATTTTCCTTAGCTATCACAACATTATAATGAGTAATTTACGTTAAATTTCATACTTCTTGGAAGGGTTGGTTGGTTGGCTGGTTGTTTGGCATTTATTGGCACAAAGCAACTAGACTATCTGCACCAAACAACCGGTAAAAATGCTGAAAGTAAAATACAATAAAACGTAAAAAGAAAATAAGTTAAAAGTGAAACAATGTCCAAAAATTAGGTAAAAAAACTAAATAGAAGTAAAAAGGCCAATGGTCCACAAAAAACTAAAAACACAATCAAGTTGGACAGAGTCATCATCCAATGTCAGAGGTAAACCCTCAGAAAATACATATCTAAAATGGTGTTGCCCTGATGTTTGTAATAGTGACATGAAAGTAAAGTGTGGGCAATTGTGACCTCAGTGTCACAGAGGCGACACATTGGCAGATCAGTCCCACATAAAAGAAAACAATGGGTTAAAAAACTGTGACCAATGTGTAGCCTAGCCAAGACAACTTCTCATTTAATCCTTACAGAAACTAGATGATCAAACAAGAACAGTAGGTTTGATCTGGAAAAGCTTGTTGTGAAGTTGCTCACCCCAACTCGACTGCCAACTGGTAAGAAGCTGAGCCTTGATCACAGGACCAAAGTCCATATATGGAACAGGCACAGCTGTAACAGCACAAGAGCAGACATATTTAGTTGCGGTGTCAGCACGCTCATTCCCTAGAATACCAACATGGCCAGGTATCCAGAAAAACTGGATAGAAATGTATGATAGAAAAAACTGAGACAGTCATTTCACAATGTTTAATAGAACAGGGTGAGAACTAACATTAAGTGATTCCAGCGACAGAAAGTCGATGTAAATAGTACAGTTAGTGTATTGCCTAGCTTCTATATGATCCAAGGCAAGAGAAATGGCATACAACTTGGCAGTGAACTCAGAAACTGTAAGGGGGATCTTGTAAGAAACCACCGAGCTACAACAAACCATGGCAGAGCCCACAGATCACCTGATTTCGAACCATCCATTAAAACAAAAACAGAAGAATGGTTTGAAAGATATTTGGCAAAATGAAAATGATACTTCTAATCAGGAGTATCTGCCTTCCTCAAAGAAAGGTCACAGGTGGGGATGGTAATGAGCCATGGCGGGACTTAGCAACATCATCCAATAACAGACCCAATTCAGCCAGCTGTGCCTGGATATGAAGACCAAAAGGAGAAATGGCAGACCGTCTATTCTGAAAGAGCACAGCCCACCAAGGAAGGAAGACACAACTCAAGGTGGGATATTATGGTAAGGATCGAAGCCTGGTAGCATATTGTAAAGAAAGTTACAAAAAGCGGAGGTGAAGAGGAGGTTCATGGGACTCAGTGTACAGAATCTGGACTGGCGAAGTGTGAAGAGCCCCCAGGCAGAGCCAAAGCCCCAGATGGTGTACAGTGTCCAATAACTTCAAGGCAGAGGGCCTGGCAGAACCATAAATCAGAAAACCAAAGTCCAACTTGGAACATATGAGGGCATGATAGATCTTCAACACAGAACAACGATCCACTCCCCAGAGGTGGAAGGGAGGACATGGAGGATGTTCAATGCCCTTGTACACTTGATATAAAGCTGCTTAATGTGAGAAATGAAAATATACTTATGATCAAAGATAAGCCCCAAGAACTTTGTCTCAGGAATCATGGGAAGAACAATACCACTGAGATGGAGCTCAAAATTGGAGTGTGAACCCCACTGGTGGCAAAAATGAGTGCAAACAGTTTTAGAGAAAGAGAAGGTAAAACAATTTGCTGTTGGCCACTTCAACAAGCGAGTGAGGGAAGTCTAAAGCTGCCGCTCAGTAAACCTCATGTTTGACAACCGACAAGAAATAGAGGCTGTTTGCAACAGTAGGAGAAAGTTGTTCAGTGATAGCATTGATCTTGATACTGAAAAGGATGACACACAATACATAATCCTGAGGGACTTTAAGTTTATGTGAAAGAATGGGAAAGGGTCGAACACACATGGTCTTGGAATCGCCTGTCCAGTAAAAATGTTACGAATAAGAATGAGCAAATGGCTAAGCAACCCATATGAATAGAGGTCCTGCAAAATTCCAAACCTCCATGTAGTGTCATAAGCCTTCTAAAGATAAAAGAAAACAGAAACAAGATGATATCTCTCGAGGAAGGCATCCCTGATCAAGATTTCAAGATGAATCAAGTGGTCCACAGTGGAGTGCTGTTGACGAAAACCACATTGGGTGGGCAAGAGGAGGTTGTTTGGTTCCAAGAACCAAACACGAAACACATTAACCATCTTCTCCAAGATCTTACAGACAGCTGGTCAAAGCAATTGGACAATAATTAGAAGGAATCTTGGGATCCTTCCCAGGCTTCAAAAAAAGGGAAAACAATAGTCCTGCACCAAGCATGTGGAAAAATGTTCTCCTGCCAGAAGTAAAGCAAGAGGGGCAGGAGAAAGATGGCGCAGCACCACATAGTGAACATCATCATGTCCGACTGATGTACTGCCAAACTGATGAAGAGCAAGCTCAAGTTCCACCAGTGTAAATGGGCAGTTACAATTATAGAAAGGAAATGGGAGATTACTCAGACTGAAACTTGATGGCCAAGAAGGTGGGAGAAAAGACAGAAGTGCTGAAAATGTGGGAAAAGCACTCACCACGCGTATCAGTGTTGCTCTGTACATCGGCAACTTCCTGGCCTTTGGAAAGCAAGATTGAAAGGGGATGGGAAGCATATTTCCCATTAACCTTCCGAATTTTGTCCCAGATAACTTTGGAACTGGTGGTAGAAGTGATGCTAGTGGCGAACTTAATCCAAGATTCCTTCTGGCTTTGATGTCTGATCTGCTGAGCATGGGCCTGCTGGAAAGCATTGTGTTCACAAAGAGTGGGATACCTGCAAAAGGTATACCAGGCCTGTTTCTGAGCCTTTACGTACCCGCTGGCAGGCAGGAGACCATCATGGACGAGGATACCGTGGGAAACGTGTTGAGGTTTTGAGGATAGAACAAACAGCTAATTGAATTATACAATCAGTTACTACCTCTATGCAGTCATTAATAGATGAAAAATTAACAAGAGCAGTATCTAGTTCTGAGAGAGTGATAAAGAAGAGCCAGTCAGCCTGCTCGAACTTCCATTGTGGCACTCGAGCCAGGTGGCATCGACTAGGGCTAATCTCCCTCCAAACTATGAGAAAGTGATCACTGCCCTGTGGGTACCACAAGGTAAAGGTACAGATTGGGGTGGTGACTGCTGTTCAGTCTTCCAAACATTGCCACTTTCCCATCAATGAGTTTTTTTCATTGTTATATATTTTGGGGTCACTGTGTGCAGGATACATACAAAATAAAGAAACTTCAGTGCCCACTGACTCCACTCAACATGGAGTCCTCTAAGGGGACACACTACAGTGCCAGGGTTTTGTGGGCACTATACCCAAACACCAGCATTAGACATAATTTCCACAATATCTGTTGAGAATGATTAACACTAGTACTTAGTTGACCCTAGCCCAACAGTACCAACCAATTGATGCTGGGGGAGTCACCCCAAGGCTATTCATCTACAGGAATTCAAGGCCAAAGTGATGTGTTAAAAGTGCCACCAATATAAACTGACCCATCAATGACACCCCTCAACCACCAGGGTCCTCTTCTCCCTTTCATGAGATGCCACACATGGCAAACATGTGGGTGGATGTTCATATCCCAGAGGAGGTAAACTGAAAATACAGAACCTTCCCTGGGAGGTCCCCTCACCATGTACAGGAATCAACCTCAAGGGGTCTCGGAGGGATGGTAAATAAATTAGAGAAGTAGGGATGCCTACAGAGAAAATTTCACAATTTTCACACTAGGGGAAATTCAGGATTTTTTTAAATATTGTCTTATAAAATTAAGAGCATAAAACTTATATAATATTAAGATTTGGTTTATTAGCTATGTTTTTATGCCAGAGTTATTCGTATACCATAATAAGAAAGTAGTTTAATTAAATTTTGAATGTAACTCACCAAAACCTCATGACATGTTCAGAAGAAGATGCCTGTGACAAAAGGGTTAATTCAAGAGATCAGATAGAATACTGACCTTGTAGCTGAGTAGCCTCTCCTTCTGCTTTCGTTTTTTCTTCTCTGGCTTCTTTTAGAAGTTCTAGAACAGAAAGTGCACACTTACTTCAAAAATATACATACCACCACTGAATATAAAGGGTTTAATTGCTTGTTTTCAACAAAAGGCTGTTAAAACATTAAATGTCTAGAAAAAAAAAGTTGTAGATAACAGTCAAAACTCAAGTTTGTGAAATTTCTATTAGAATCTAAAATTTATAAAAAAAAAGTACAGCTGATTCTACAAAATTTAATTTTGAATATTTTTTTTACAAGTTTAACATTAGGGCAATTAATAAGATAGGTAAAGCTGGTCAAGGATTACAAGTTACCAAACATAAAGCTCACAAAAAAGCTGTGTAAAATACCAAGTTTATCTCATATCAAACTCATTCTTAAGTCATGCTTATACAACCCATGTTTAGAAGCAGCATTAGCCAGTACTTTATTACCAGGTTTTTTGTTTCCTGAATTATAAAGCAAGCAACTACCACTCATGCATCAACACACCAGTTATTCTGCTGTTATCAAAGCTCATGTACTAGTTTGCTACAAAATTTTTCAGTGACAGGCAATTAATTTACTAAAATAACTACCAATGCTCTAGGCATGCAAAATTCAAACATTTTGAGGTGAATCAAAAATAAATACAAAAAATTCTGCTTACCCAGGTGCTCCTCTTATACTAACTTGTACACATATAGCTTAATGCTTACAATATTTAATTTTAGATTTACAGTAACTGCCGATTTTCCTTTATCACAAATAGCAAGGGTCAGTTGGTAAACTAATAAAAGTCCTTGCTTATAACTTTAACCCTTTCTGGACTGAAGGGATGTCACTGATATCTCTTGTCTAAAAAAATTCATATCAGTTAAAAAATTATTTTTATTTAACTTATGAAATCTGATATGCACTGAACATCTGAAAGGCTATCGTCAGTCCAGATAGGGTTAAACTAATCTACAAGTAAATAAAAGCTCCAAAAGACCCAAACCTAACCTATGTCCTACTAACTTATTTAAGTGCATTGATAAAGAGATGCTATTAAAATTTACTCATAACAGTTGAAGTAATGTGTAATCAACCTGTAGTTAAACAAGGTGACATGACCGAGAAAACAAATTTCCAGACATACTACGTTTCACATATCACTGCAGTATGAGAGTCCTAATTGCTAAGTTACGACAATGTGATAGGTAGATTTCAAAAACTATATACAGAAATTTATAAACAGAATTATCTGTTCTGTTTTATTAAAGTGAAAGTAAGTAAATGCTAAGAAAACTGGAATGCCTCTCTAGTTAACTCTTTCACTGCCACATTTATTGACAAAACTGTTCCAGTAACAAGTTTTTCTTAGAAACATACACAAGAAAGAAAACAAAACATGTTTCAATACTTGTTTACTTATTTGAAACTTGAATCTGGTAAACTATAGAAAGTTTGAAGGGGTAATACACTTTCTTCATGGTAGTATAAAACTTCAAACTTCCATGGCTGTGCCCAAGAGGGGGGGGGGATACGTGTGTGTGACCAAGGCAGATAAAGAGTTGAACAGCTACACTTATAAGAAAAAGTATAACTTATAATACTTATCAGTAATAAGTTTTCTCAAAAAGCTTTACTCATTAAATGCTTTCATGAGAAATAAATCAGTCAGCTTACAGTAATATGAAACAATAAAACAAAACTGTCTACAATGTAGCTAGCTTCTAATAGTACATGATCACTAAGCCTAAATCAATACTCTCACAATGTCAACAAATACATATATTTAATTTAAATTAATCTATAAAACACTACCCTATAAGGTAGCTAAACATGGAACACAGTGATTATGTTAAGCCACTACCTCTTAACAAGGTTACAGTGCAGGTCAGCTGATGCTGGGTGACAATATTCTGTAAGTGCTGTGCTGGATTAAAGGAAGACATAACACAAAAGGTTAAACAACTAAACCACCACCATGATGAACATGCTTTAAAACACAGGCAATTAGGGATTGATTATTAATACAAAAACAATGAAATAACTTCATGCTGGGAATAAACAGAGCAAACACACAAGAGAGGTACAAAAAACATCTGCAAAATGAAATATAGAAACATCAAACTTCCATAATTAATAACATTTTACATTTAAATTAAAGCAAGCCAATTTTAAAACAAAATCTGATTTTAAAATATTCAACAATGATATTCAAATACTTCACATTGTTCCTCAACAATACTTTCAAGTATTACCTAAACATACATACTGTGTTATTGATTATTCATTCATAAAATCAACATGTTCTCGGGAATTTTTCAGATGTTGACAATACTGTTATTTAGTTTAAAAGATTAACAATATTTTAAAGAATTCCTTCAATATATACATCTCAATAGTGACTGGTGTACATGCTACTGAACATTTCAAAAGCATTAGCAAAATTAAGATATTTAATTAATGTAGAGAATTTATTACATCTTTAAGAATGAAAAAGAAGTACACTTACTGTTTGATGACCACAAACAATATTTCTAATAATTACCTAATTATCTAGATGTTAATTACAAGATCATCAATATTTTAAAGAATTTCATAGATACAAAAAACTTGTCAAGGTTGTTTGGCAAACTGTACAGTTTAACTGTTAATGAAGTCTTCTCTTGAAATTTTAAGATTGTAAAGGAATTCTTGAATTATTAGTTGCTAAAGAGAATAAAAGAATTGATATTTAAAATATATTATAATTGGCATTAAAAATTAAATTTCAATTTTAAGAAAGCAAACAAGTATTAACAATATTTTTACTTTTGGTTGACATCATTAAACAGAAAGGTTAAAAAAGGGCATACTAATTGTAATTTCATGATCTTTAGAAATCATGTGGGAGAAAAAATATAAATTGCAAAGCAAGAAACTATAACTCAGGAGGAACTTTTTCTAAAGGTAGGCTCTCCTCCTTTAGAAGGAAGACTGTTTTTCTTCCGAAACCGGTTGGGTTTTCTTACTTTCTGACTTGTATAATTAATAAAATGTTATAAAACCAATAACAAAATTTTTCAAATAAATTGGTTACTTATGTTAACATTTCCGAGTTTTTAATGTTCAAAACTGCAGTCATTATAAGGCTACCATGTAATAAGTTTAAACCTGTTGCATTTTATTTAGAATGTTTTCTGCAAATGGGAAAAATGCTTCAATATAACAATATTGTTCATAGCCACCTAATGCAAATATTATAAATCCTTTTTACTTCACAAAAATAACAAAAAGCATAAAACTCTTTTGCACCGATAGTTTTGGATTATTTTTCATTTTCTCTGTTCAAACTTCCAAAGCTACTAAGTGAACTTCATTTGTAATTTGATGACAAGGAACCCACTTTAAGACTAATAATGCTTGGAGGTGTCTTGAATGGGTAATGAAGAAAAACTTTAATATAAGTTTAACATAATAGCAAATGTAGAACGTTTTGTCATAATCAAATTCTTTTTCCAAATGTTGTACATTTGCTGTTATGTTAAACTTATATTAAAGTTTTTCTTCATTCCCCATTCAAGCCGTCTACAAGCGTTATTAT